ACATGGTGGGGCGTGGCACGGAGTGGGGACGAGACATTCTGGGTGAGATTTCAGGCCCGTCCCCGATTGTGGCAGTTTGCTGACTCCTCACAAGTGGTAGTCGCTCGCTTCGTATTGTATCGATTCACAACCATGTATGAGTATCCGATTTCGACCAAACCTGGGCTTGGGTTAGCCTGGTTGCTTCAAGAGAAGTATTCTCCACAACGAAACGGCATACGACACACTCCGATGTGTGATACTCCAGAAATTGGGAGGTCTCCCATCGTGATCGACGATCACAAGCACTGAGCAAATTCTGGGTGAGAATGTGACGGACGAGCTACGCAACATGAACCGGTTTCGCCGAAATTCACGCAGAATATGCGAAGTTGAGTCGATAAAGGCTGAACATACTTGAGTCTTTCTGGATCGACAATAGCATTGGTGTTGACTGATCGGAATATCGGCCGAGGTATTGTGGTTTTCACACTATCCCTCCTCGATATTTTCTCGCCTACTTGGTGTGGACTCCGACTCTGACGCTCAACACTGTAATTGTTCTGCACGAGGCGATCTATTGAGTAAATTTATATATTATTTTTATCCCCATAGATTTGAAGGAGTATAGCCCGCTGAAACGTCTCCATGTGATGCGAGGTCGAATGAACGCGAGGATTCCGTTCTCCCAACAATCCGTTCATTGACGTTACTTTGCACAGAGAAATTACTGATCGAATAGCCAACTTGTCGAACTCAATGCGAATTGCTGGTGCCGTATTGGAAGTTTACAGCGCGAAACTTATACAAAGTAGCAGTGATTAGATAAGTGAAGTAGCATCCCTGAGGGCAGGCATCGTGCCGCGGTATCTCATTGATATTGTCACTCGATTAATGGTGATGGCGGTCGCCATTGAATTCATCCATCTCCCGTTCCCCAGCGGCACAGCGCTCGGTCAGATTCTCCTTCTCACTATCGCTCATGGCAACAACACGACGCCTATTCGCGCGGCGACCGGTCCAGAAGTCTAAGCAGTTGGTCTTGATTCCCTGATTACAAAAAACTTGGCAATGAATCGAGCACAGCGTCGTGATCACAACACGCTTATTGATCTCACCTTATCGAATGGGTTTCTGAACTCTCTGTGAACTCTACCGCGTCCCTCTTCGGGATCTACACCGGACATTCCGCCAGTAGCCATCATTCGCCAAAAGTGACCATATCTGAGAGCACAGTTGATAAGAACTGTGAATCACAGCACATAATCCCGCCCAACCTATGGAAGTTGATCATCTCGTTGGTATACATATTCATAGCAACAA